AAAAAATTTCTTATATTTGTATATCATAATTCCGGCCAAAAATTAACATAATTTTAGCCAGAATTATACTTAAAACTTTATTGTATCGTAACTTCGCCAATATTAATCGTAGAGAGATAATCTTACTGCCATTCGATTCGTCTTGATGAGACGGTTCTAATGGTATAAAATACGTCGAAATCCAATCACTAGATTAATTTCCGAAATTAAAAAAATATTAATGGTTTTTGTGTAATAACTCTGTCAATATTGATCCTAGAAAGACTATCTTACTACCATTCGATTCGTCTTAATGAGACGAATCTAATGGTATAAGATACATCGAAATCCAATCACTAGATCAATTTCTGAAATTAAAAAATATTAAATTGTTTTTAAGTAATAACTCCGTCAATATTGATCACAGAGAGATGAGCTTATCACATTCGATTCGTCTTAATGAGGCGATTCCAACGAGCTATAAATCATCTTTTTACAATCACTAGGTACCGAGAAATCTAGCAAAATGTTAAATGGCGCAGTAAACGTAAATCAAGAAATATTATAATGCCGATGTTTAACATTTTGTTGAATAACTCGTCAGCCAGTGATCGGAAAAGGATAAAACTAGGGGTTGGTCACCCTATCTCGGTGGTTAGTCACTGAGACCCTCATTAAGCCTGAGTATGATGAGGTCGCAGGTTCGATTCCCATGACTACGGAAATAAAAAGAATTTTACTGCGGACGCTACAACCAATAGCATGAAAATACAGGGATTAGTGTAGTTGGACTGCATCATGGTGAATTAGTGTGTATGGTTAGGCCGCACATTTCAACTAAGGGTCATGGTGTCCTTCTAACGTTCCCTATGAGGCCATTGGTATGTGCGCAGTCCTGTCCTTGAGGTCACTACTATACCTTGGGGGGACTTCCTGTCTGGGTGGTCACTCTACGATACCACTTGGGGTCAGTAATGGCTAGATGGTCGTCCTAGATGGTAAAGCTAAGGGTGCAATGTCTTAGTGGTAGTTTGACCTTCTGTTAGGTCTTAGACCAACTAAAGTGTTCGTGCACAGAACAGGTAGCATAGCTATAGGGTTCGATTCCCTACTCCTTGGATTCTGGTTGGTGATCCCTGGTGGTTGATACCCACCATAAGGGGTGATCCTGGACAGATGCCTGCTACTTCCTGTCTGAGTGGTCACTA